AAATTCATGCATGGTGCAGTTGGGGGTGACCAGGCCAGCAGGGGGAGGCAGCTGGGGGCAATTAGGCTGGCAGGGGGGCAGTGAAGGGTGACTGGTCGCCCCTCACTGCCCCCCCTGCTGACCTGGTCACCCCCAACTGCCCTCCCTGCCAGACTGGTCACCCTTAACTGCCCCCCCCTGCTGACCTGGTTGCCCCCAAATGCCCCCCCTGTCGGCCTGTTCACCCCTCACGCCCCCTCCCCCCCGACAGCCTAGTCGCCCCATGCAACCTGTCGCCCCTGCTGGCCTGGTCGAAGGCAGCCATCTTGTGAGGACATGAGGGTTAATTTGCATATTACCTCTTTATTATATAGGATAAGATATTAAATGAGGATCTGACTTTAATCTTTTTAAATAGCCACAAATCCATATTAAAAATGCTTTGGATTTTCTATATACTGATTTTTTTCTTGTAATAAATTCTTATATGCAAACTAAAAATATTCTTTTTCTGGTCCATATATCTACTTACTAATTTCTGAGCTAGGAATATTTTAATCATTGCAACTTTTATGGTGTATTTTAATAAATGGTACATCAAATAAATGTCCCTTCATTATTCCAATTTTTTAGGATTTTCTTGGCTTCTTCAGATGAATGTTAGAATGATTTTATAAAGTTTCAAAACTATCTGCTGGCATTTTTTATTAGAATTTTATTAAACCCATAAATTACTTTAAGAATAATAATTGATTTTCCTGTCCAGGATCATGGTAAGTCTTTTCCTATATTCAATTTTAAAATATTGCTCTGTAAACTATATAATATTCTACATATGGGTCCATTAATTTATAATTATTAATATTATAGATTTTCTTTGAGAGGTGTGGGGAGAAAACATTAGCATCACTTTAAATGTTCCTAACTCTAGTTTACTCATTCTTTTTATAATGCTGCATTTGATAACGGAAGGGTATTTAAGGACTTAATTATCAAGTTACAGTAGAACAAACTATCCAATGTATACAATATCTTCAGATTATAGTATCATAAAGAACCATTTTCTAACTTCCAAAATGCCAAATTAGATGTATTCTTTATTGTCTGTCCAAAGCCTTTTAGCCAAGCAAGGCATTGATGATTAAATTTTTCCTCCTAATTTTCTGTGAATGCGTAACTTACCATCAATAACTATTTACTTCAAGTTCTCTGAGACAGAGCCAGAAGGATTGTAATATATTCACCAATATCAGCCTCAAAAGTCTGTTCCCTGGTTGCCCATATGAGCAAAAACATTATTGCAATTAAAAGTTCAGGATTCAGCCCTAGCCAGTGTGGCTCAGTGTTAGAGCATTGGCCTGGGGACTGAAGGGTATTGAGTTCGATTCCAGTCAAGGGCACATGCCCGGGTTGTGGGCTTGGCCCCCTGGTGTGCAAGAAGCAGCCAGCCAATGATTCTCTCTCATCATTGATGTTTCTGTCTCTATCTCTCTCCCTTCCTCTTGAAATCAATCTATAATAATAAAAGCATAATATGCTAATTAGACTGGGTGGCTGAACAGCAGAATGACTGTCCAGACAACCTCCCAGATGAAGCCGGGCTGTGAGAACCAAGCCCCGAATTTCGTGCATCAGGCCTCTAGTAAAAATATATTTTTAAAAAAATGTTCAGGGTCCAGTTACCAGAGAGGAGAGGGGTTGGGAGGCTGGGTGAAAAAGGTGAAGAATTAAGAAGTACAAATTAATAGTTACAAAATAGTCAAGAGGATGTGAAGTATAGCATAGGAAATATAGTCAATAATATCATAATAACTATGTATGGTACCAGATGGGTATTAGAAATGTCAGAGGAACATTTTATAAAGCGTATCATTATATGACTACTATGCTGTACATATAATGAAACTAATATAAAATCATATTGAGGCCCTGACCGGGTAGGTCAGTTGATTAGAGTATCATGCCATACACCAAGGTCTCAGGTCGGTCCCGGTCAAGGCACATATAAGAATCAACCAATGAATGCATAAGTAAGTGGAACAACAAATAAGTGTTCCTCTCTCTCTCTCTCTTTCTCTCTCTGTGTGTGTGTGTGTGTGTGTGTGTGTGTGTGTGTGTGTCTGTCTGTCTCTTTCCCCCTCAAATCAGTTAAAAAATCACATTCAATGTTATTGAAAAAATTTAGAACAACTTTTAAACTTTGGGGTACTCTCTCTCCCCCCACTTAAACACACCTGTCAGGTCCTCTTAGATGCTCCAGCAGTGTTTCTCAATTGTGTCTTTTCTTCATTCTCACGTTTCAAAGTCTCCCAACTTCTACATTCATCTCCTATCAATTAGTCCACACCTATACCTGTAACGTTTACCATAAGCAGAGTGAGCTTCCTAAAACTCGTATCTGATCCTGACACTCCCTCTCTTGTTTAAACACAGGGTAAATACAACAAATATACATATGAAAATTGAGCTAGCTGTACTTTATAATTAATATGTTAAGTGCTAGTGATACAAATATAAATAGGATAGGGAAGTGTACCTAGTTGTTACATGATAAAGGCCAGACACACTAGCATCACAGGCTCCTCTGACCTCCTGTCACTCCCTTATCTATTCCCTGACATCCAGCCACTCTGGACTCCTGAGAACACACTCATTTTGACTCTTCCTTGCTTTGCTCAAGCTGTTCTATACCTCCCTCTTCATGGAAAAATCCTACCCTTCTTTCAATGCCAGATGCAATGTCATGTGTGATGTGAAGCTTTTCTCAATGCTTAGCCCTCTTCTAACACCAGAGAAGGTAGAACTAACTGCTCCCTTTACTGCTGTTTCATAACAGTTAGTTTGTACCACTAGTGCACACATAGAGATTCTGATAGCTAATTGTCTCAGTGTCTGTCTTCTTGACTTTATTGTGGTTGTCTTATAGCAGAGGCCATGAGTCAGTCACCTTTTGATACCTGCTTTAGCGCCTTGTCTTACAAACAGGCATGGAAATGCTAAAGTCTGTGAGAGGAAGCCAGCAGGCAAAGACGATGCTTAGGCCTTTATGCCTTTTCTGATAAATATGGTAGTATTTTCTCAAGTCAAAATTTACTTATTTTTGCATCTAAGAGTTATATTGCACTTCTTGGCCTCAGTGAAAACAGCTTGGAGGCAGCACAGGATCCTAGAAAGAGGGTAGGATTTGAAATCAGAGAACCTGGGTTTACTAATGAGCTCTATGAATTTGAGCTAGTACATAACCTCTATTAGACTCAGCCTCCTCCACTATAAATTAGAAATATCTGCCTACTCAGGTTGTTTTCAGGGTTATGTGAAGTTATGCACATACAAAGCTGAAAAAAAATTTACAGTGAGAAAGCATTATAAATGTCAGTGTTATTTTCATTATGGTTATTTTTATATATCAATGGAGACAGCTTTATATAAAATAGTATTTCTATTTCAGAGATTTTAGAAATTATTTTGGAGGAGTAAAGCTCATGTAAATATATTTTAAGCATTTTGTTTCTTTTTAAAAAATGATACTTAGCCCTAGACAGTTTGGCTCACTGGATAGACCATCTGCCTGTGGACTGAAGGGTCCTGGGTTCAATTCTGGTCAAGGGCATGGTACCTGGGTAGCAGACTCCTCCCCGGCCCAGGGCCCTGGGAGGGGCTCATGCAGGAGGCAACCGACTGATGTGTTTCTCTCACATTGATATTTTTCTCTGTCTTCCCCCCTCTTCCACTCTCTCTAAAAATCAACGGAAGAATATCCTTGGGTGAGGATTTAAAAAAAAAAAAACTTATATCTAAGTTTGTCTAGGTTTTCTAATTTTTAAAATATCCTTGGGAGGGGTGTAAAATTTTATCTCCCCCTCTTTATTTTTGGATGATCCTACTTGTAAGATTATTATTAGGTCTCCACTGCTTAGAATATGTACGTGGCCGGGATAGTATTTGAGATGCTAATCTGTTTTTATTCTCCCTGTATTTTTTTTTCAGTTTTCCCCTCTCTATTCAAGCAAGTAGCTGATTCTATGCATATTGACTTAGAAAGAGCACTTGGCAGGGTGGAAAAGAGAATACCCAAGCCTTTTCTCCACCCCTCTTCCTTCAACTGCTTCTCTCTTCCCCTCCCCTCTCCTCTCCGTATCCCAGTCCCTGTCTCATTCCTCTCATTCCTCTTCATCTTCTTTTATAAACTTCATTCTAATGCTAAGTCATAGTCCTGTTCTCTCTCTACCTCTCTCTAGACCTATAGAAACTCAGTCCTCTTCTACCATAATGGCAACGCAGAACCTCTATTTGGACAAAGCAAAACCCCTTTGCTTATGTCTACACCTGGCAAGGTTATGCTGGGGTAGAGCAGGAATAGGGCCTTCCTGAAAAACACCATCTCCCTTCCTAGTAGAAGAGTTCTTTTGTTATGAAGTCCTGATTGAAGATAATTTCTGTCTGAAGAAAAGTTCTTCAGGGTCTCAGGGTTGAAAGGCATATCTCCCAGCCCATCATAGGAGTATATTTGGTATCACTTTATACTTGTATAAGTAAATTGGGTTTCCCTGTGCCCTCTTCAAAAGGAGAGGTCTGAGGTTTTTCAGAGGCATCGATTGTGTTCTAATTCTTGTGAAATGTCATCCTTTATTTATAGTTTTCTAGGAAATCTCAGAGTCTTTAGAGAATACAAAATGGGGCAGATAAGTTTTGATCATAGTGAGAGTGACGTGGGCGCTATCAGGCATGGGCTTGGGAAGATAGACATAGGCATAATGTCCTATAGGGTCTTGAGTTCCAGATGGTAAGGATGTGTGGAAAGCTGAAAGTAGCGTTACCTTTACCTTCTGTACAGTTTAACTTCAATAGCTGTTGGATAGACCATGTTTATAAAAGGGCTGTGGACACTTTCAGAAAGCATAGCTACCCAGGCATTGGCCTGATTTATGTATGTCTCAGCTTATTTCGTTTTATTTCATTTTAACTTTGTAGATACGGTTTGCTTCAAGTTGCAATATCTTTGTTATTTTTCTTCCTTACAGGTTCATGAAGGTGGCAGGAAGCACAGTGGATGCAGTTACCTGGCAACAGTAGGTATTCACCATTTTTGCTCTTATTATCTATCAGCTGCTGTGAAATAAAAGATATTACTTGTCATGAAGTTTATATCTGACATTTAATAGACTATTCTTCATCCTCCAAGAAAAAAAGTTAAAACTAACCCCAAAGCTGTTCTTATGACACATACTATCTCATAATAATACAATTTTACAAAAAACAGCAACTGACACATTTGGGAAAGCTCGGCTATTATGTACACTTTTAAATCAATCTGTCGTCATTGAGCAGGTGATGGAAATTTGAACATGCCAGCATTTCCCCATAAGCTTTTCCTTAGGAATAAATTTCCTTAAGAGAGGAAATATTGTTAATTACTCAATATATCATATGAAAATAGAAATGCTTCATTACATTAATGGCAGTGGTCTTAATTAGTGCCAAGAGAGTCACTAATATGAAGCAAATAAAAAAAAAGAATATGAAGGGAATGAAGCAGCTTCAAGAGAGAATTAACCCCTCCAACATTCCAGGAAGAAGCTTAAAATAGCAGAACTATGTTACCCTAAGGGGAGATTGACTTATAACAATAATTATCTGAAATATAAATTTACATTTTCTCTAAGTCTCCTTATACCATGTATTCTGGAATGTCCAACATCTTACAATGTCTCACAGTTTTATACTGGAATCCTGCCCTTCCTTTCTGTAAGAAATCTATCCCACAGCATCCTCCAAATCATCTCTCATCTAATGTGGTCTTCATAGCTCAGCTACATGCTCCCATTCTGTGCCCTCAGAGCTATCAACTATGGCCATCTTTCTCAGTTACTCCAACCCTTGCTCCCTAGCTCATGAACTCTTGTCTTCCTCTGTTTTAGGTGGGTCACTGTAGTCCTTGCATATTCATAACAGGTGTGAAAGAAAGTGGATGAAATCTTTATTAAGTATCCCAAAAGGATTTTTGGTTTGTTGGCAATCAATAACTTCAATTACGATGGAAAATATTGTATTCTACCTAAATACTCTTAGTTTCTCTAAACAAGTTCCAAATATTTTTCATATCTTCCTTCAAATTGTTTATTTTATCTTACCTTCCTTCAAATTGTTTTTGTGAGTCATGGATAGAGTAAGTCTGACAATCTTGTCATTCTTTTGTTTAAAACCCTTCAGGATCTTCCCTTTGCACTTAGCCCAAAAGCCAAACTTTCTACTCTTTGTGATTGCATCTGGTGCTACTCTACCCTTACTCACGCTGTCCCAACACACTCATGGTCTTGTGGTTCATAGAAAATTCACAGACATGGCTGCCTCAGGACCTTTGTACATGTTATTCTTCTGCCTGGAATACTGTTCTCCCCATTTTTTTGTGTGACCTGCTACTTCTCATCTCTTAAGGCACAACTTACATGTTATCTCCTTCAAGAAGCCTTCCCTATAAAATAGGTTCCTCATCAATTCTCTTTCTTAGCTCTTTTTTTCATAGAATTTATTGTCACTTACAATTATTATTTTTATAATTTGTGAGTTTTTTTCTTCCACCAAAATAGCATTATTTTATTCAACAACTGCTGATTTAGGCAATTGTTTTTCTTTTAAAACAACACTTTCATTTTATTAATTGCTTAAGTTAAAGGTGGCATATTCAAACTACAACAAAGAAGGAATAATAGAACCAGACACCCATATGGTTGAGTGTTTGAGCACAAAGGCATTGATATTAGAAAACTTGTGTTTGAACCACAGTTCTTTCAATTGTTATCTCTGTTACCTTTGCAAATCTTTATGAGACTCAGTTTTCTTCTTTTTAAATTAAGTTAACATTCAATATTATTTTATACTAGAGGCCCAATGCACGAAATTTGTGAAAGGGGCTCGGCCCTCGCAGCCCTGGCTTCATCCGGAAGGTCATCTGGAAGGATGTCTGGAAGGTCGTTTGGCTGTCCGGTCAAATTAGCATATTATGCTTTTATTGTTATAGATTAGTTTCTGGTGTAGAGCATAGTAGTTAGACAGCCATATAATTTATAAAGTGATCCCACTAATATTACAAGTACCTACCTGGCACCATACTTAATTATTACATTTTCATTTATTATATTCTCTACCCTGTATTTTATATCCTCATGACTATTTTGTAACTGCCAATTTGTAATTTTTAATCTCTCAACCTTTTTCACCCAGCCCTCCAATTAGGCAATTGTTTATTGGGCAATAACAACAATGATAATAACAATAGGGCGGGAATTGTTGCAAACTTTTATATGCCTTACCATATCTCCTCACGACAACCAAATGAGGTAGGGACTCTTTTTATCTCTATTTATGTATGACTTAGAGAAAGTTGTAAAAAATCCAAAGATTGCATAGAAAGTGGCAGAGTTTGGAGTTGAAGTTGGAATAATCTACTAACTATTACTGCTTTGATAGCAATAAATGATCCTTTGCTGAAAGTATTACATTCCAGTGTGGGAATTTAAATCCTCTTCAGAGTCCTCACAAAAGACTATCTGGATGATGTAGGATAAAGGTTGAACTTGAAGAATTTGTAGTGTTTGTAGGGAGAACTAATGAAATAAGTATACAAATATTAATGGGTAAGGCTTGATCAATTATAGCTGACAGGGAGGGATCAGAGAAAGCTCTTCTCCCCTAGTGAAGCACACTTTATCATGCAAATGGAATGAAATGAGCGCAGTATTTTTTATATTGGAGAAATAGATTGTTTCATAAATATGTTTTGTTTATTGGCTACTTTAAAAATACTGGCCATCTCTCAAGATATAGATCATATGTTTGCAACTACTCTAAAAATACCCCCAAAGTTTTTAACTCATTTGAGGACAACAAGTAGCACCTGAGATCTGTCATTTATTCCTTCCAGCTATAGTGTTCAGTCAAAATTTGGAACAATTCCAGAAAATCCTGGCCAGGAGGACTTAGTAAAAATTAAAACCAAATGCCATGTTTCTCTAACCCTGAGAAATGCTGAGGTGAAAATTTCTTAATATTGTAAAGTAAATCAAGAATGTGTGGTAGAGGATGTATATAGTAAAGCATTAATTGTAGTGTGTAAAGCATTAATTGTAGAATCATTTCATTGCTGGGTATTTAACCAAAAGAAATGAAAACATATGCCTATACTGCACAAAAACTTTTTATAGAAGGGTTCATAACAGTTTTATTAAAAATAGGCAAAAACTAGAAACAGACCAAGTGCCATTAACAAGAGAATAAACAAACTGTTGTATATTTGTATAAAGGAATACTACTCAGCAAGATAAAAGAACAAACTAATGATACACTCCACAAATGAATGTACCTCAACATTATGCTAAGTGCAAAAAGTCATATAAAAATACATTTGTATCATTCTATTTACATGAAATTTTGGAATGGATTTTAAAAATGGGGACATTGACTGCCTCTGTCGATGTAGGGGGTAGGGATATGGATTGAGAGGATGAGGGAATTGTCTGGGGTGAGTATAATGTAATCTACATCTTGATAGCAATTTAGTTTTCACAGGATTATCCATTTTTTGAAATTCATCAAATGATATACCTAATATTTATGCATATCATTGTATGTAAAACTTAAGAAAAATAACCATAAACAGATACTGACCTCTAATCAATAGTATGTCTGATCAAGTGTTTAGGATGAAGTTTATCAAAGCCTGTAATTTACTTTGAAATGCCTCAATACATAAAATAGATCAATGAATGGATAAAGGGATAGATTGATAAATGTGTGGTAGAGGATGTATATAGCAAAGCATTCATTGTAATACCATGGTGATGGATATATGGTTTTCACTATATAATTCTTTCACCTGTTTCTGAAATTTTTCAAAATAAAATATTAGGAAAATAGGACTACATTGTTACACCTAAATACATAATGTTATTTATTACAAAATAATATATTGCTCTGAAAATATGTATGAGAACATAATAAATGGGAAAATGCTTTTGTCAAGTGAATAAAGTAAAATATAAAATATACAAGTCATACCCCAATAATATAAAATGCACATTAACTCAAAGAAAATGCACAAATAGATTTATAGTGTTAATCTTTAGGTAGATGGCATATAGGGACTCTCTTATTCTCATATTTTCTTTTTTGTAGTTTCCAGTCTTTCTGTAATCAGCATGTAGTGCATTTTTCTTCATAATAGAAACCAGCAGTACCCAGCTCCACCCTTCCCACCTCTTATTGCCCCTCTATAGAAGCATCATCATAATTTTAGTCACTTCTGATACTTATTTCCATATTTTTAAGTAACAGTCTGATCCTGCTGTTTCTTGACTTTTTTCCAATTCAAATATTATCTATTAATTTCCTACTATGGAAAATGAGAATTTAGCTCTCTTACCTCCCTAACTCCTTGCACACTGAAACATACTTCCCTTTGTCCATCCTCCAACATTTTACTTAAGTATTGGTGATATCAGAATTCAGTGCTCACATTTTTATTACTAATAAATATGATTCATAGCAGAGAATGTGGTGTGCTATGGTTACATTTTCTTTCTTTCACAACTTTTTGCTTTCCCTGGAATTAATAACTGTCTTTTTCATTTGCCTAATTTCCTATTAATCTATCCCTAACTCTGTTCAGAGGGTAAATCTCTCTCTGTGCAAACACCCCCAGGTAACCATCAGTTTCTTCTTGTCCTCCTCTGGTCCCATCTGGACTGGTTGATCTCTGTGCTTCCTGCACAGCTGTTATCCTGGGATCTCCCTTCACCATCATCCTGGGGATTCCTTTGACTCTCTTATTTGTTGGATCCATGCCTTTTTTTGAGGTTTACTCCCTATTTTGGGGGAACATTTTCCCCCAGGAAATTCCTGAGAAAAGATAAATGAGAAGTAAACATGTTGAGACCTTGTATTAGAATTTGATTTATATTTTGGATGCATAAAGATTTCCCTAAGATTTTGATGCGTTGGCTCCATTTTGTTCTAGCTTTCCTTGTAACTGTTGAGAAATCCAATGCCTTTTTAATTTCCAATCCTTTTATTT